TATATATATATATGTGTGTGTGTATGCGTGTGTGTGTGTTTCTGTGTGTGCGCATATACATATATATACATATATAATTATATATCTCTGTTCATTTATCTATCTGTTTTTCTATCTCAAACTTTATCTATCTATCTATCTATCTATCTATCTATCTATCTATCTATCTATCTTAATCAGTTAATATCTATCTACCAGCTGCGCATTGTAGGCCCAATGCCAATTAGAATCAAAATCTTTCCACTATTGATGTTCCATTTGGACAACATGCCAACGAACATTCTTGGTCACTTGCCCATAGATGTTCGAAGTTAAATGATTGTAGTGTGGCATAAGGTCACAAGAGTTTGACGTGAGTGAGAATTGAACCTACCACATAATAGCCGGCCAGACACGGCTGTTAATGAGGCACCCAATCAAATTTATTACACATTGAATAGTATGACACAAGGCCAGTTATCTTGTATATGTTATATAGGACTAAATTCACTATATTCTGAATCATTTACGAGACCAACTGGCTAACTATTATTCTACAACGAGTACATTCGACACATGTTAAGCCAGAAGGACAGAGCTTGTTTGAGAATATCTATCTATCTATCTATCTATCTATCTATCTATCTATCTATCTATTCATATATGTCTATGTGTGTGTCTATTATATATCTCTGTATCTATCTATCTATCTATCTATCTATGTGTGTGTGATCAGTTGTATGGATATGAATTTGTGACACCTGCTTTCACGCTTTTGCTATCATCAGACAATCACACAGCCTGATGACCACAAACAGCTTGAAACCCAGGGTCACAAACTCAGATCCATGCAACTGAATATATTAGCTCTATCTATATTGAGCATATTCCACTACGTACTGTGCATATAAAGTAATATATATATATATATATATATATATAAATCTAGTTATACATATTCTAATTATAAATCTAGCTATATTCATAGGTAAAATATGCCAATATTAAGAATAGTGTGTATATAAATATAAAAGAGTGCGATTGGTAAATTGTCGCCATTTTACATCTTTCCTTACGCGCATGAGCATCGTTTGTTTGTTTTGTTTTTATTTTGTCGTCTGTACAATATATTAAGATCAATTGGGCGGGAAAAAGAGCAACATGACGCAATTAACTCCACCAGAAATTGAAAGCGACTTGCTGTACTGCTTGGCATTCGCGCCGGAAGCTCTAATACGAATATTTCAAAGTGGATGGGTGTCAATCAGTGAGAAGCATTCAGATGAGTCTAATGGTGATTACGGACTGACAAATATATTTATAAAAAAGACAGAGGCAAGCCATATCATGTCGGGTGAGAAGTCTAGATGCCAAATGGGTAAAAATGAAAACATTTGAACTTGACATCTAGACTGGCAAATGGATTCTCTGAAACAGACATTAAACACGTCCACTTTTTTTTTGCATTGCTATCAGTAAACACTTTCCTGCTAAGCATTTACAAAAACTCGATAGGTAGATTATATTCTGTTTTCCTTTGTCTCTCTTGCTTTCAATATGCCCTGTGAGTATCAAATTTACCAAGCCGTCTCACCCTAGAAATATAAACTGATGTTAGCTATACTTCGCCGTTGCTCGTGTATTCTCTTCTTGTTATTCTCAGCATCCTTCTGTTGAACCACATTTTGATCACCTCAAATTTCTTATTCGTCTGTGCGGAGATGGTTCAGCATTCACCGACGTAAAGCAGGACTGATATTACATGAGAATTTAATCCACTTTTCTTTGTTTCTAATGAAAACTTTCTGTTTCTTAATACTTAATACTTTGCTTCGCTTTTGGAAGGCATCTTACGCTATCACAATGCGCCTTTGTATTTCATTTCTGTCCTCGATTAAAACGATTCTCAGATATTTAAATTTTTGTACTTGTTTGATTTTGGTATGTATGATGGAATTCAAGCTGTAAACATCAATCAATTTGGTATTATATATAACTAGAAAAACCCGGGAATTTCACGGTTTTCCTATTTGGATTTTCTGATGAAGTTTAACTTTCAATTTAATGATTGAATAAAACACATGTCGAGTTCTACGACAATAAATTATCCGTAGAATTTCTTTTATTTTTCATTGTTAATTATTTGAGCTTAACAACTTTAACAAAATATTGCAATAACAATCTTAAAAATAAAGGCTTGTCATTATTTTAAGAAGTAAGAGGGTACAAATGGAAATATTTGTTACTCACATTTTTTTTCCATTTCAATGAAACAGACGTTAAACACTTCTATTTTCGCGTCTTCCCATTATTTTTTCACTGAAACCAAGTAGCGTATGTTTTTTTTTCTACGCGATCAAAACAGAGGAGAGAGTAAACACTTCCATCTTTCCTTATTTCTTTCTTTTGCTCACTAAATGTCATGTCTTTTCCCCTATTTCCACACGACCTGAACGGAATAGTTCATTACTTTGAGTTATTGGCGGGACGTAACGGTCGTGCGCACTAACGAAGGGTGGGGGGTCAAATTAATTATAAAAAGGTTCTTTGAATTTTATTTCCTTGTATTATGATAGAACCCTCTTCAATAAACAGAAATAAAAGTAGAATGAATGCGCACCTGTAAATTAATCAAACTATTTATTATGTTTTTAAACTACAGAGTGTCCCCCAAAAATTGACATCACTTTAAAAGCAATTATCTTGAAAGCTACGAAGTCTAGCCCAATGAAATTGAACAGTTGAATTGCTGAACATCATAAGTTTATTCTGGGACCGACTTCATAAGGGATCAATATGAGCACCGCCTGTGACACGGCATACATCAAGTCGGTAGTTAAGCTCTTGCCAAACACACTGATGTTGATGATGATCTAGCACAGGGGTCGGCAACTCATTCGACCTCGCGGGCCGGATCATGTTGTAATGACGGGTCGCGGGCCGGACGAAGGCCATTAATGAAAAATTAAGGAAAATTACATATGCAGATCCCCCCCTGTCAACCTAAATATTTAAAACCATAATGAAAATAAACATTGAGAAATCAGAAAAACAAAAGAAAATGTAAAATTAAAAAAACACCCAACAAAAATTACTTTTCCTCAAGGAATGTCAAAATACTTCAAAGTGAAAAAATCAACTGAAATGGATGAAATTATGACGTGTAGGTTTGAAACTGTTATTGAAAATTGTTCCACAAACGAACCACACACACACACACACATACACACACACACATCAAATAAAAACGAAGCACATATACCCATACATATGAGTACAAATAGTTGCAAACATATACACTTACGTACGTACACATGCAGTATCATCCACACATTCATGAGGCATGTATGTATAATGCGCGTAAGTTTAACTGTCTTTAGATTTCTGCTACCTCGCATGTCAGTCCCTCCCTGGCCTCTTTCACTTTATCGTTCCTTTCGCTTCTGTTATCTTTTAATATAGCCAAGGGTCATAACAAATATGTATCCATTATTTGACATTAAACGTAGGCAACGCAACTTGGTAAAATAAGTCTCATGAAAGATAACAGGCAGATAGTCTAATATTTTTAGTGCACTGAGATGTGTAGACATTCTATAGAAAATGACATATAAAATATTTCATTTGAAGGTTGTCTCTCATGTTAAAAATAGAGTCATTGGTAATCAGGCTCGCGGGCCGGTCAAAATGCGTTCGCGGGCCGGATGCAGCCCGCGAGCCGTAGGTTGCCGACCCTTAGTCTAGCAGGTTCTTTAGCCCTGCATAAGCAGGCTTCCTCTTCCAAATTTATTTTGCCAGTCGGTGTAGCTTTTGTAAATTTTGTATTGAAGGCCTGCTGCACAGTCTTGGGCGACGCAAAATGACTTTGGAATTGAATGGCATTGGTGTCCTTCCGTTTTCTTTATTTATGGATCCCATATCGTACTCATTTCTATGCTAGGCCTACTAAGGAGATCCTCATAGCCTAGCATATTCACAGTTTCTTTCAAAGTTCTAAGCTAAATAGAAGGTGCCCCCCCAAAAAAAAAAAAAAATTTGACGAAATTTTAAAAGCAATTATCTTGAAAACTACTAAGTCTAGCTCAATGAAAATGAACAGTTTAGGTGTTGGGCATCATAAGTTTATTATGAAACCGATTTCATAAGTGATCAATATGTGCACCGCCTGTGACACGGCACACGTCAAGTCGTTAGTTAAGCTCTTGCCAAACACGCTGTAGCATGTCTACGGTAACACTATCCAGTGCGGAAGTAATTCTCTGCTTGAGTTCATCACTGCTAGCAGGAAGAGAAGGGGTTTACACCAGTCCCGTCACATATCCCCATAAAAAGAAATCACACGGGGATGTGTCCGGTGACCGCGCGGCGAACATTTTATCAGAAAACTGTCTTCATCTCCACCGCGCCGATCATCACTCTGGCAGATGCTCATTGAGATAAGCATCATAAGTTTATTATTGGACCAATGTCATTAAATATTTGAGCTTAACAAAATATTGCATTAACGATCATAAAGGTGAATGATGGTCGTTATTTTAATATTTTTTAAGCATTTCATCCCAAGCAAGGCGGGAGTGTCACTATTACCCGAGGAGGGGCGTTAAAGAGAGTGCAAGTGAAATAAAAGAATGGGTATAGGCAGGGGTATTGTGGAAAGGATAAAAAGAAGAACGGGGATCTGGGCATCAGAAGATGACGAAGGACGTTGCATTTAAATTTTTGAAGATTCTATTTATCAGAGAAGCATGTAAGAGGAAGGGAATTCTACTGTCGGGAAGTGCGAGATAAGCCGTTGGAGTAGAAATAACAGTTATATTTAACTGTTTCGGTAGGAAACCTAAATGCCAACTTAGCAGTACGCTTAAATTCATGCAGTCGAGGCACAAGGGAAAATAGCTTGTCAGAGCAGTTGCCATGAACATATTTGTAGCAAAGACAGGGGGAAGCCACAACATGTCCGTGAGAAAGGGATTGGAGTCGAAATTCCAACTGGCTACTAAGGAAAACATCTGGAAGTGACATCTTTTAAAATTTCACTGAAACAGACGTTAAAAATTTCTGTCTTTATTTTTCTCATTCTTGCATTTGCATTTTCGTTCACTAAAAGCGTCTCTGATATCTCTTTACCGTGTTTCCACGGGGGAAAAACGGAATAGTCCATCATTTATGGGTATTGGCAGGAGTCTTTAAACATGTCTATATTTCCTACATTCTTTTTTTTTTCTTTTTATCATTGAAACTTACTAATGTCGCTAATTATTATTTTTCGTCTTCCCAAAGACTCTGCCAATACCTCATAATTAATGGACAATTCCATTTCGATCGGGTGGAAAGACGGAATTTTCCGAGATTTATGAGGTATTCGTAGAGATATTAAGCATTTCTTTCTTTGTTTCTTTCTTTCATTTTATTGAAACCAAGTAGCGTCTCTCATATATATTTTCCAACTCTCCAGCGATCAAATATGGTGATCAAAAAATTATTTGATGTATTGGCATGAAAAAACTATCCTACATTCTTTCTTTAAGAGGGAGAAGAATTAAAGCATGATTTTTTCTCAAAATAATGCAAAAAATTCCTCGGATAATATAAATCTTCTTCTTTTATGTATAGTGTCCCTTCAGGACGTAGGCGATCATGACCGCTCCACATCTTCCTGTCTCTTGTAGAGTATTTTCTTTTTGTTATTTCTCCCAAAACCTGTTCCACTGCTTTCATTTGTACCTCTTTCC